CAAAGAGTGTATACACCTATGTCGTTGTGATCGATTCTGAGCCATGTCACCCAGAATCTCCAACCATTGGTTGCGATAGTCGTGCACACCCCAACCAATTAGTTTGCACCTACCAACATAGCTCACACGAGAAGTTAATGACTTCACACTCATTTAATAAAGAATCAAATTATTGAACTGTTATCGCCTGTATGCTTGTCAAAAACTGGATATACTGCTCAGGAGTTTATTGTGAAATACATTACACGAAAACAAGAGTTGCGTAAGTTGTAATTTCTTGATTATGAGTATCTTCGAGGCATTACTCGTATATAATAAATTGATACACAGAGTATATCTGTGGATTGTAAACTAGCTAATATTTTTTTAAGTCACCGATTAAATTGGTTGAAACAAGTACTACTCACATCCACTACAAATGAGATTACATTCTTTTACTTTTCATCTTGTTAATCTTATCTCGTTAAAATTGAACGTCTGCAGTCGTGTGTACATATATGGATTAGGTCTTACACTGCATTTGACTATTTAACTGTCCAAAAACGTAGAAAAATTAGCTATCGAGTACTTCTTAGTTTTCAACAGTTCTGAGGTTGATGTCATTTCGTGGTGAGAATTTTCTTTAGCACGTGATCACTGAAACGTAGAATGGTTTTGCTCGTTGGTTGCAAAAAGTGAATTTAATTGTTCAAGCGGTGGAATGAGGAGATGGATTTCAGCAAAACTATATAATGTTTATTAGCACAACATATCTTTGAACGATCTAATCACATATTCATTATATAAACAATAATAATGTCGAACTAAATGGTTGAGAACATGTGAAAGAACTGTATGGGTAATGAGGGAAAAATGCTTATTGCACCACCATCGATGCATAGTATCATCATTCATAGTACTGCAAAGAAGGTCGACTAGCTTTCTTATGTTCTGATTGGGTAGGTTGGAGATAGTAAATATTTGAATCAACCAATGAACGTCAGAGAACTTAGCATATTGGTTGGTCAGTCAGTTACAACGTAGGACCAGGCACATACTTAAATTGGTCCAAGTTGCCATACCACATTATCTCAGCAAGACGAACACCGGATTCAAAGAAGCAGTTAACTCAATGGCGTAATAAATAAAGGAAAGATTTGATGTAAGGATATAGTACAAAAAGGAAGAATTAGTTCGTAGAGAGAAAGATATGAAATAATTCTAATCTCATAGTTTAGGGGAAGACAGAGAGTGTATACACCTTCGTCACTGTGATCGATTCTGAGCCATGTCACCTACAGTCTCCAACCATTAGTTACGATAGTCGTGCAGACCCCAACCAATTAGTCTGCATCTACCAACATGGATAAGACTAGAAGTTAGTGACTTTAATGACTGATGCCACGTTTTGGTTTGGCCGCCCTTAAATTTCTTCGAACCATTCCCAACACCAGTTAGCATTGCGCGTTGTGGTAATCGGTGTTCAGGCATACACAACACGTGGCCCAACCATCTCAGTCGATGACGATTCACAACCTCATCAACTGACTTACCATCATTCTCTAAAATCTTGCGTCTAACCTCACTATTACTTACCCGGTGATCCCAGTAGATGCGTGCAATATTTCTAAGGAATCTGTGGTCAAATACTAGTAGCTAACGAGTATCTTGTACTCTTAATGTCTACGTTTCGTAGCCGTAAAGTGGAACAGAATGGGCCGCTACTCAGTTTACTCGTTCCTTAATTGATAGACGGATATCTCGCCTTCGCCGTAGGTGACGTTGTTTCACGAAAGCCAAACGAGCTTTCTGGATACGTGCAGAGATTTTGTCAGACACCAATTTTTTAGGGCTGATCGAACATCCGAGATAAGTGAAGTCGTCGACGCGCCTTATTACTTCACTCCCTATATTTAGTCCAAGTGTTGACGCAGACCAGTTCTGAAGCAACAGCTTGCATTTAGAGTGAGAGCAGCACATCCCAAACATCCTGACATTGTTGCTCAGTGCTACCAAAAGACTGCATTGTGTCGGCGTTCTCACCAAACAGGACTATGTCATCTGTGTATTCTAAGTCGATAAGTGGACCTGTGGTAGGAGATCGATGCCCTAAAATCCAGTCAACGAGGACATTATTTCCATCTGTAGTTCTATGATGAAGTTGAACGAAAAGGTAGATAGTGGATAGCCTTGACGGACACCACTCGAGGCTGCAAAATCAGATGACAGTTCGCCATAAGCTCTGATTCGACTGGTAGTGTTCAAATAACGAGACTTCACAAGGTTTATATAGTTCTGAAGTACGCCTTTCAATGACGCACTGCCACAGAACCTCCTGGTCTACAGAGTCAAATGCCGTTATTAAGTCAAGAAAGACCACCATTGTCGGACGCCGATAAGCATGTCTGTGTTTTAAAAACTGACGAATTGGGAATATGTGGTCGATGCAGCCACGACCAGGTCTGAAGCCAGTGTGTTTTTCTCATGTTTGCAGTTCACGAATCTTTGTTAGGCGCCAGAAAATTACTAATGCTATTATTTTAGATGTTATGTTAGTCAAATTAATCTCTCTATGGTTATCACAGGATGATTTTGACCCTTATATATTGGGGAAATTATTGATTGCGATCAGTCAGATGAGATTACGTCCAACTCCCAGATTTCAGTAAAAATGTTAGTTAACTCAAACTAGACTACCATCCTTAAAACCCTTTGGAGCCAATCCATCTGGATTGGCTGCTCTTCCTCGTTTTAGATTAGTTATATCTTTCTGAACTTTAGCTAGAGTCGAGGGAGAAATTTTCGTTTTAGTTCCGTACTTGTTGGAGCCTTATTCTGCTGATATCCGTATCAGTAGAGAAGAGATTAATCCTTCTATGAGGACATCTATATTGGAATCCAATAAAGAGTGCTAGAGGACTGTCCTGGAGAATGTCACTTTATATTATCGATTCTGATGATAGTTTTTCATAGGATAAATTTTAACCATTAGTGTTAGAGTAGAGAGCATTTACAAGATTGATATATTTCTTTGGTACATTTTTTATTGACAACACTGTCACAAAACCTCTTCGTTGACGAAGTCAAATTCCGTCTTAGGGTCAAAAATACAATCGTAGTTGTAAGCCGGTAAGTATCCTTGTATTCTAGAAGCTGAGGAAGGCTTAATATTTGATCAGTAAATCCACGTCCAGGACAGAGAGCAGATTGGTTTTCCCAAGCATTAGATAATTATAGAAGCTGATATTTTAGGCACTATATTAGTCAAATGGATTTTCTCTATCATTGTCATAAGTGAATTTTAATGCTTTCTTAAAAGCTAGGACTGTCAGAGATTTAATTAACTCATTCACCAGTACTTATGTATAAGCCACACTGTGTGAGAGCTGGTGATATTACTAGGTTGTCCAAACGGAAGTAGGTGGAGAGGAGTTCGATCCTGAGACTTATTGTCCGAGATTCTCTCAAGCTCTAGCTATACTACTAAAACTGGACCGACATTCAAATGGAGTCAGTGTATCAGATTCAGCTGCATTTCCTGAATTCAAGTTAGATATGGTCTCTGTCTTCACTAAGAGTTGTAAACTTGCGTCGAATCCCTATTTAGGTGGTTTCGAGATAGCATGTAACACATAGTTCGGCTATTCCTTAATGTCCTATCAATCCTTTAAGTTCCTTGGATTGAGAATGGATAATTGCTCTATCTTCCTCCAAAACGGTCTAGCTAATACCTGAATTCCTAATGCCATTTCCATTGATGAGTTTAAACATTTGTCTGGTGTAACGTATTGTATTTTTCTTTCGTCACCCACTACTGGACTGAATGCTTGGTTGATTCATCACTGAGTTCATTCTCAACCTTCGCCTATTCGATTTAATATCTAAGAGACCATTCTGTCGTAATATTTTTATGTCCAGTAGAACTCATAGAAATGCTAGTTTTGAAGTTGGTCACCATTTTATGTGCCGGGATGCTAAAAGACCCATCTAATCGTTTTTCAGCTTGATTTGGCCTACCAACTCGGTTGCTGAGATTACTTACCGGGATTATTATATCTAAGCACTTGGTTATTTAGAGGAGGTAGGAAATCTTCTTGTAAAACTCATCTTTACTCCATCTGAGTTGGATCATATAAAAACAATGGGAAGTCAACAACATATATCTCCATCTTTCGGATTTTCTGTTATTGGCCAGTCACACTGGGTTCTTTTGTCGGTAGTTCTAAATATATATTAGTTTCAGACCTTACTGCTATTTTTTTAAAGTCACCTTCTTCTAACTCTTTCCTTCTGTTTCGGTAAGGCAACGACAATCGGTACTATATGTAAACTAAAATTTAGTGTTATCAATCACATTAGGAATACAGTTTATTATCATGGTAGATATAAAGGAAAAGAATTTCAACTTCTAATTAGACCTTTTATAATTTTGTTTTTAACAATGATCATTTTAACTTATCCTTTTATTAATTTTATAGTTGAGATTATGAGTCAGTTGAAGCTAGACCACTGAAAATCATGGAAGAACTGGGCGGCCATTTCATCCTAGTATAGGACTTCTCAGCAATGTGCATACTAGGACGAAACGACAGTCTAGTGCTTTCAAATTTTCCATGGTTGTCTAGCTTCAAATCCCCTTCTAATAATAATCATCCTTTTATTTTATGATAGTTCAAATGATCTTCTGTTAGAATTTAATAGAATTTCATTTAAATAAACTAATTTTCTGGTTATGATTTAAAGATAATCACATTTGAGTAAAAGTTCTGATTACTATGACTACAAATTGTCTGATGTCTCATTGCTAGTAGAACTTTCTAATTGGTCAGTTAAAAATCAAAGCATAGAAAATAAACACAAAAATTTAGATCGTATATGTTGGATGTGTGTGTGTTTGTCTATCTAACCCCCTTTTCGAAAACAAAAAAACCAATTTATTAACCAATCAAAATTTAAGTTGAAGATGATTTAAGTAGTTTGATCATTAAATGTGAAAATATACTTTTTGATCAAAGAGTAATAAAAAAATTATTCGACAGTTTAAGAGGAACATGATAAAACTTCGTTTATGAAAATTAAATTAGAGGAGTTATCTTTTTACTCATATTGCATAATATAATTATAAATAATTGTATCTGAAATAAAATGGTCAGAGGAAGTGCACGAATTAAAGCTGGTGGTATAAATATGGCTCAAGATGGTCCACAAATGATCAAACCTCTAACATTAAATATGAGTTTATTTCAATTTTTAAGAACTGGTTATTTTGAAAAAGATCTATTAACTTATTGTACTAATCGTCTTGCTGAATATTCATGTATATATTGGCTTGATCCTACAGTGAATGGAAATAGTGATTCAATAGAATCGAACTTAGCGTTTACAACAATGACTAGTAAGTTTTTTTTAAAAAAAAATGTTTATTCTGAAATTAAAATGATTTGTTGATAGAATAAGTAGACAAACGTTAGTTTAAGTAAACGTTTCGTAGTTGTCCACATTATGAACTAACCGACTGAAAATCCAGGAACAGAAACCTGCTAGGTTACCACTATGCAACAGAGCTCACTCACAATTCTGTTTTTTTTATTTATCAAACTTAACATTTTCAGATCTTCCAGTGAGTAGGCTGATTTTAAGTCTCAAGTGAAAACCAGTAAATGGTAGCATTCAACTATGTCAGGTACGAAATAGTTATATAAGATAACATTAGTTAATTATGTTTGCTCAGTTTATTAATTAACTGAATTTAGAAGTGAAGATAATTTGAATTGTTTCTCATGAGTATTTAAAGGTCGTCAGATCGATTTAACGTCCAATGAAGGTTTCACACTTCTATTTAGTATCAAAATAGGACAAACAACAGTTAAGAACTTTCTATCTGATTTACATTGACTCTCCTACCAATGACAATCCGTGATGTCTAATATTAAACTTACGAATCTTTGCACCATCTCTATACTAATATCTAGACTATCTTTTGATACAGTGTGACTTATTCAACTATTGTTAATCAAACGTTTTAAAAGATAATAACTCATCTGATATAAGAAAACTTTGTAAACTACCACGTAATGAATGTTAACTATAAACAATCTATTCAGTAGTTCCATATGACATATATAAACTCTGAATTTGATTCTAGGATTGAATGATAGTGTTTTCCTGAGTTAAGTCTTACTACAGTTTCTTTTCCAAAACCATTTATTTTCTACAAAAGATATATATATATAGTCAAGAGTAAGGACTACTTAATTATTGAAATTTAAGTAGTAATAACCTTTTTAGTAAATCAATGAGTTATTGTTATCACTCACTTAAAATTAATCTATTCAGAAATATGGATTATTTGTATTCTTGTCATGAAAAACGAATTAAACATGGTTGTTTTAATGTCTATGCAGAAACTTAAAACGATAGAATTGCATATGAATAATTACCTGTTTTCAACTTGCTTATTATAATGACTTGAGTGTAACTTATAGATTTCATCATTCGACTAAATCCAATATCATTCATATTAGGGGATAAATTACATAGCGGTACATGTGATCTTGAATTACTTAGATCAGTGACCACACTACAATTTGATCAGTACTAAAGGACTAGATAAACTTGACATTGGTCATTACTGTGATCAATCAGTGTAAATATCTCAGTTCTACAGGAAATCACTCACAACTCAGATGGCTTAGTGTTAACATTTCAGACTGTTAAATTAGGTGATCCACATTCAGATCCGTTAGGGAGCACCGGTTCCTCTAAGATTACAGATATACTCTACTGACAAGCACCGACTACCTCTAGCCACTTGAAATCAATACACAACAATATTACGAATTCAGAGTTATTTGTATCATTAATGGTAAAAGAAATAAATCCAAGATAAAGTCAAACAACATAGTTATGTTATTCAGAAGTATTTTTTAATAAATCATTTAATGCTTACCATTTTACAGTCAGGCAGCCTACAAATGATGATTGTGTTATCAACATTTACGTTGGAAAATAGGAGCGATAGCTGAAAAATGAAGTGAATGACAAGTTTATATTAACTATATAGTTTATTGAATGAAGTATTAGATGAAAGGTTAATCAATATTCTTGGCAGAGATCGTGAAGACTTATGGTTTAATTTTTGTTGAACTCAAAGGTTTAGCTTGCTAAAATTGATTCACTATACATATATAGAAACCATACAGTGAAATACATGGCCTCCTTTAAATAACTCAAAAAGCTTTACTTGGGTTATCTGTTTATAGTAAATTGACTTAATTGTCTTTTCTCTATACGCTAAGCAAGGAGTTCGCAACTTGAAATAGTAGTTGTACGGATTTTGTTACTGATCCTCATAGCACGTTTGGATCAGCTAAACTGATAGTTTTACATGTAAAAGGAAAAATCACTGAAGTTGTCTTTATTTCTAGTTGTTCAAAGTGAATGATCGTGAAGTAGATGTTTGCAAGGAGCAGATATATTACCCAATAATTTAGCTATAATTGTTAGTTAACGCTGTTTAGTCAGTTAACGTTGTAGATTGTATACACATTAAAATATTAATGGTTTATGTTCACGGCTTCCAGTTCAATCCTTCAAAATCCGATCAACATATAAGAAAACATATTGTTTTCAATTAGACTTTCATCAACCTTTTATACGCAGAAACACCAATATGTATATATGAAAATGGCTAATCCAGTCAACGAAGTTTATTAGTTAATGATAATTTGGCTATTGAATCAGTTGTGGACTTATTATTAGTGCATAATAAAATCTTCGTTTGTAGTATCACATTTTTCCTTACATCAAACCATATCAGCCTTATTCAGTTTAACAGCAAAAGTATTTTGTTCCAGTTACAATAGTTGGGTGTACTACTTGGACACGGTGAACGTCTGCTGAATACTTCACCGACAACATTACCTCCAATCTCTAGTCTTTTGTTCTAATTTGTCAACTAATTCAAAATGTCGTTTAAAAGATGTTTTCTGTCTGATGGAAAGACATAATGTGTGTGTTGTTCAGAGGAAGCAGGTAGTTGGAGTACTACAACTATTTTTTGTGATGATTCGCATTTACCAGCTAGGTATTTTTTTAATCCTAGTGGGAATTGATTTTCCAAGTAGGTTTTGACCGGATGCCATAATTGTTATTTCAGCAGTGCCAACATCAAGGTATTCGGGTTGATACTAATGTCATTTGGGTTGATATATTTAATCCAATCGATCAGAAATACATATTTAATTAAATAATAAGTTTGAGCTCTCACGAAACCTAGATCTATGATCTTGCACCAAATACCTCCTACTACCCAACAAAAAATTGCGTTTAAATATTCTGTGTAATTTCAACTCAGTTTACCAGTTGTTGATATACTCGATTAGTCAATCTGAGTCACAAGCATTATAAGCAAAGATGGATGGTGATTAGTAGTGTAACCAACTCTGAGATGCATATACATCCAGCTGAAGAGTTCCAAATAAACGAAACGCGCGTCCTGGATTCCACTACTATCCACTATCTATCTTTTCTTATAATAATATACCTGTTTATTTAAATCTAGAACAATTATCCAGTGAAGTGAACATACGAAAATTATTCCTCTAGTTTTTTCTTCTCTCCTTGAGTAATTATTAATAAAATGCACAAGTGATTATTAAAAATACCAACCTCTGATAAGTATTTACTGGTTTTATGTCAATTCACTGCATAAAACGCTAGTCAGAATGAATGACTATTCGACAGCGTGTCTGACGACAGTTGGTAGTTGCATAGCAGCATGAAACTTTACAGCAGACGTGATCTTTAAGTAGTGTTTTTCATGTTTTTCTTCAAAGTACATACAAACATAGGCGAATGATGGCAATTCACGGACTAACATGAATTCATCGCATTACACCTTTTCAATAATTATGTTCACTCTAACACATCATGTATGTGTATGAAAAGGGTAAATCATTCAATACATTGTTATGAATGTTCATTGATTAGTGCATTACTGTAATTTGGATGGCTTGATTTTTGTTTTTAAAAAACTTATCTCTAAATCTGATCTTTTCGATATGAGAATAACCTTCAGATCGATATAATGGTTAAATGAATTTTGATTTGTATACATTAATTATCCTATGAAAACCTTATACATAATTCAACATTTACATATAATATACATACAAGTGCAGCAATTTGGAAGACTCTCCCGGTCTCCCACATCGTACGAGCATTCCATGTACCTAAATAATTGGTTGCTCTGGTTGTCGGAAGGGGCATCAGCCTCGTGAATTCCGAAGGAACTCGGTTTTCACCATGGGGCGTCAAAACTCTTCTAAATGAAAACCTAACTTCCAGGGCAGAGTTTAAATGATTTTAACAATTTTTTTTTCTGATAAGCGTATTTTTAGCGAGTTAGCTTTCTACGGGGTGGGGGCGATAACTCCATGCCCAACCCTCCTCCTTTATCCGGGCTCGGGACGGGCAGGAGCCCTAGAGGGGCTCCAAGCAAGTTATACATACAAGTACGTTACAGCAAATCACACACAAATTTGTAACTATACTGAGAGCTGAACCAGATAAATTTTTATAGGATTAATTAATGAGGAAATTGTGAGTTGAAATTTATTGCACTTTATTGCATCTTTACAGTATAAACTTGCTTACTACGTGATTCCCTCTTCAGCTGTTTTTTGGTTTTGTACGCATGGATATTATAAGTGAACTAGTGAAAAAGTGAACCTGTGATGAACGTATTTGACTAACAGCTAATATGCCATGAATTTTAAACCTTATCCATTTGTTTTGGTTTCGAGAGTCGGATAACTCCATTAACTCTCCTACTAAATTTATGTCTCAAAGACAAGTATACGGATTTGTATCCTATAAATGAGTTAAGTTAATAAATCAACTGTGAGTGGATTTAAAACTTATTGATGGAATTTTTATATAAAACATTTTGGTTCAATCAGTATTTTTATTCAATAAGATTATGAAGATACCTTTATCACAGATCGATATCAACTGGAGAACCAGTAAAAGTAAAAGTCATGGTGTCGGACCTCACGAAATTACATACTGATGACTTAGTTAATTAAAAGATAACACGCATTATATACTGAACAATAAATTGCTTTAAGCTTAACACTAGTTATATTTAAAGCTCACCAGTTATATCTTAGGTTTATTTTCATCATTAAGTGTTGAGGTTATTAATTAAGGTTGACAATATTTCGCGCTTAACGTTAGGAAGCATTTGATTGAGAATCGTGCACCTGAATTTGTTTTTTCTTTACTTAATAGTTAAATTTATGTGAAACCTTATAGGAACTTATTCTCCTGTGATAACGTAAATAAATGATAAGTATAATCGAATGGATAATACACAACATCGACTAGTATAAT